CCCCGCGCGCCGCCCTCCTGGACTCGCTGGAAACTGAGTCCAGCGTCTCCCCGACGCTCATCCTCGGGCTCGTGGCCGGCGAGGCCCTTCCCGCGGGGCCCTGGGTGCGGACCGTCCCGCCACCTGCGCGGGCCCCTGTCCGGAGGACACTGGAGTCACTCCGTCTTCACCGCGCGTCCCTCCTCCAGCACCTGCTGTGGGTTTGCTTGCTCCAGTGTCAGAGGGCACACGATGTGGCTCAAGAAAGTTTCCTTCTGGAACATTCTGCGTTTTAACCTTCATTTGAGAGCACGGGAGGAAATGCTGTACTGAACAGAAATTTTTTCATTAGCACACTGGTGGGTCACTTCTCAGGAATTCATCCTTTTAAGACTGTTCTGGAAAGGTGGCGTGGGGCATTCTTGCAGCCTCTCCCAGACGGAGGCGGTGCGGTGTGACCCACTCACCATCCCCTCCCTACTCATTCACTTTTCCTCTTACGGTTGTGCAGCCGAGGACGGAGCTATTTAAGGGGGCTGCATGCCCAGCGTGCTTGGTTTTCAGGCGGAGGTGAGCCGGGCCTCCCTCCCCCAGAGGGGTGCTCCCAGCAAAGACCCTTGCTGCCAATTTCAGCGCTCCCCAAAAGCTCCTGGTTGAAAGTACAGAGAATGATCATGGTTAATGCTGCTTTAATTCCTAAGATGCTCCCAAAATAAGTCACGGCTCTGCATACTCCAAGGATGCCAGGCATTACGACGTCTTTTAGGACCGGAGCAAAAAATTATTTTTCTTTTTACATCAATAGAATTTCCCTAATCTTGAAATACTAACCATTGACTTGTTCATATGTGAAAAATACAGGAGTTTCTACAGTGGGTGGTTATCCAGAAATGAACTGGGGAAAAAGACGAATTCTGGGTCTTTTAGAAAATGGAGGTAAATGTGGCAAAAGTATCCACATTAAGTGTCTTTTCTTAATTCTCTTAGGACATTGTATTCCTGGTTAGGGTTATGACTGACTGGTTCCGATGGGAGGACAATTAGCTGTGGGGGCCGTGATGTGCCCAAGAGCCTGGGCCCCTTCAGCAGGTGTTCGGGCACGGGAGGGGCCCAGCTCCAGCGTCCGGTGTGAGTGCTTGTTGCGGGGCAACGGAAAAAGAGAACGTTGGGCCTCAGTAGAAATGGAGATCGGAATATCACCTTTTAAGACCAGCGCATGTGGCGTAGCCTTTTGCACACATTAGCAGACAACATTAATCTGGGTCACATCAGCAGTCCCCGTGACAGACCCTGTCTGGTGGCAGACACTGATGCTCCACGCTTCCCTGGCCGACTTGCCCTTTAATCTTTTAAAAAAGACTCCTTTGCTCCCAATTCTGAAGTTGAGTTTCAAATGTGACCCGCAGCCTCTCAAATGAAGTCCTGCAGGGCTCCTTCGGGGGGCCCAGTGGCCGCTCAGACGAGGTGTCTGGGCTGCTGTGCGGCTGTCACACACGGTCTTATGAGAACCGTGTGTTTGCTTTCATGAAATCAAGGGCTTTGAAATGGAGGGCTCCAGCACTGGAAGATTGTTGGATTAAAGACTTCTATCGCTGCGAAATTAGTCTACTAACAACATACACTGTATCACATTTGTAAGCTTGTTATCCTGCTCAGAAAAATGTTCTGTCAGCTCCACGTTTGCTTTATAATCCCTTCGCCAAGAAAATGGTGGCGCTTTCTTTTAGTGACCATGCCAGAAGTATGAGGGCGACGGCTTTGAAATGTATGTTAGTCTGGAAGCGGTTTAAAACTGTGTGGTTTGGGTGTTTTGGGTAGAACTTTTGCTTGACTTTCCTCTTAGGGTGGAATTTTAGTTATTTCTATTTCAAACCTTGACCAGGTGAACAGCATTCAGCCAGAATGCCGACTCCACCTGGAAATACGGGAGGAAGAGACGAGGTGCACAGAGCAGCTGAGGGCCCAGTCGGAGACGCACAAAGGTAGGCAGGGGCTGGGGGCCGGCCGCCTCGCGGTGGAGAACCAGACACGCAGAGAGCTCACGCCTCGCCCGCGAAACTGGAGCCTTGAGGTCACCTGCTTTAAAAAAAAAAAAAAGGGTCTGTTGCCACTTTTAATAAACTTCTGGTGAAATTCGCGTGGAGGGAAAGCTCCGGTCACACAGACCTTTTAAAAGAAAGCCTTAATCCCCGGCAGTAACAGTTCCCAGGGTCTGAGACAACAGCAACAGTTACTAAAACAATTTCTTGGGCGTTGTTATGCTTTGCAAAAGCCACTCCACTTTCCATGACTATTCATCTGATTTCTTGCATTTGGAAACCTTAGTTGCATCACACATAATTTTGGTCCACTTAAGAACAGTGGAAACTCGTCAGAAATCGAACAGAAAAATGAGTTTTGTTTCCTGAAGACAGGCCTATTGCAAATACAGTGCAGTTGCTGATTTCATTTTCGTCAGGTCAAAAAGCAGTGCTGGGACCACACGCCCCACAGTTGCAGGTCTATGAACTCGGGGTTCCGGGCTAACACCCAGATGATCAACAGTAGCAAGAACCTTTTGTGCCTTCAGCTTTCTTTTTCTCTGTTCTGTGTCGTGATTTTATCCTCTTTAGGAAAAAATTCAAATGAAAGCAAGACTGTGTGTTAGAATAGGTGGGGGTCCCGCGGTGGACCTCGGGCCAGAGTTGCAGAGCTGGGCTTCGCTCTAGACCGCTGTCCGTTGGAAATGGCGTGGGAGCCACATAGGTAATTCTGAATTTTCTAAGAGCCACATTGTAAGTAAAAACAAAATTGCGAGATTCGTTTTAACAATATATTTCACGTAGCTAAATATGTCTTAGTTATTATCATTTCAACTTGTAATGGATATAAAATACTGATGAGAAATTTTAGAGTTCCCTTTACGTATTAAGTCTCAGACGCCCAGTGCATCAGAGCTGGGACCCGCCACCTTCAAGTGCTAACAGCGACTCCCATGCCGGACAGTGCTGCTCCAGGCTGAGACCGAAAACACGTCCTGTGCCCTTCCCGGCCCCTCCTTGGTTGGCAAGTGGGGCCTCTGGCTCCAGGACCCCTCCAGCCTTAACGACTGTGCTTCCGCCGATGGCCACGTCTTCCTCACGGTCTGCTGGAACTGGGTCCCGGTGAAGGCAGGCGGAGCAGCTCGGCCCCTTGGCAAACGGGGCCGCGGGTCCGTTCTGTGCTTACTGTTCGCCAGCTACACGGATAGATGAGGTGGGTCCTGCCAGCCAAGGCCTCCTGACAGAACCGCTGTCATGGCCATTGGGATCTGGTCCCATCAGTGAAAATGAAGAGATTTAGGAAAAGTAAATGCTCGGAGGGAAACAGACTAAGGTGGAGTCATCGGCTTGGTGGCCAGTGAGCCAGGTCCTGTCAGCAGCTCCACCCACAGGCCTCCTGCGTGTGGCGGGATGGGCACAGAGCCGTCCGGCCTCTGCATCCTCCGTAAGAGACTCGTGCCCTGTCTGAAGACTCTGGGGATGGGACCTGCCCCCCCCCACGCCATTACCGGACAGTCAAGTTGCCAGCGGGTTCTGGGAGCACCCATGGGTGGCCCCCACATACTGGCCTTAAGACTCCACGTGTGAGGAGGGTGCGACTCACGACCGGGTGTTTCACATGAGAGAGTCTTTATTTCAGGCTAGGTCACGCAGATGGAGTGTTCAGAACCATGTTCAGTTTTACTTTGTCTGAAGCCACGGGTTTGAGCCCGGCAGCTGGCCAGCTGCTGACGAGTGGGAGCTGCTGGCCCCAGGAGGACTGAGGGCTGATGCCTGGCGTGGGGCCTGCAGGTGGGGACCAGCGGGGGGCAGAGGGGTGGGGCGCGGGGGGAACGTGGCAGTGGAGGGGCAGCTGCCCCTCACAGCCCTTACTCGTTACTCTGAGGAAATGCAGGTGCCGAATGGCCCAGCTTTTCACTTTCAGGGAACATGAGCAAACGCGGGATGAGAAACGGGTGCGGCCATCGCTTCCGAAAGGCCGAGTTGAATCGAGCCGTTTACTGGTTGGACCGTGCGCCCTCTCCTTCCTGTCCCATGGCACTTATGTGATTGTCACGCCCTGAGCAGCTCCTCGCCACATGCGGTCTCAGCAGGGTGCAGCTGGGCAGAGGCTGCTGTGCTGGGTGGACCCCTCCAAAGGCCCCTCCTACTCTGTGACTGCCAGGGGCCATGTCGTCACCAGTCCTGGCTGCAGGCTTCCGAAACAGGCCCCTGCATGTGCCCGGCGAGTGAATGCATGCACGTAGCCTCCTCATCTCACCGGCACGTGTTTTAAGAACAGATGATGTAAAATGCACCCTTAGAGCCATAGGGACCCTTCGTTTGCTGGAATTTGATCGTCACCAGCAGTGTTCATGTTGACTGGGATTCGAGGGACTTGGTGTGACAGGGCACTTGTCATCGGCCCCGGAGCAGGCAGCAAAGATGTCCAGGAGGGAATGCAGCACGTGGAGGGACGTCCGTGAGTAGGAAGTGCAGGGTTGACAGCAGTGGTGTCCACCACCCACAGGGCTGGGCGCTGGGCCAGCTTGGTGTCACATCAGCTCCTGCAGGGCTCGGTCACGTCACCGCAGTGCCTTGTTGACAGGAGAGGCCAAGGCCGAGTGCTGCCTCCACTCCTGGTCACTGCTCACGGTGACAGCGTGTCTCAGCCCCCGGCACCCTGAGTGCAGGAATCAGGGCCCTTACTGGGCTGTGCGGTCAGCTCGGGCTGCTGGGAAACGACAGTGTGAGCGTCCAGGAGTGGCTGCGTTTCACGGCGTGGTCTCTGAGCAGAGTCAAAGGAACTGCTGCCAGTTGTAACTGCAGCTGCCGGCGAAGGCTCCTCAGGGCAAAGCTGGCCTGAGGGCGGAGGCCACAGTGGCTGGAGTGGCTGTAGGACATGGGTGAGCTGCACGGGGACCATGGCCGCTCAGGACAGGCTGAGTCCTGGACCCTGGGAGAGACCAGAGGGCAGGTCCGTGGTCCTTGGAAGCCTGGGCCGCCTGTCTGGGGCGTGAGAAGGGAGGCACCTCGGTCCCGAGGCCACCTGGCTGGGCCCTTGCAGGCAGGCTGTGCATGTGCCTGCTGCGGGCACCTCGCAGAGGGCGTCCAGCAGCAAAGACGGCGTGTCCTCGGTGTCTGCCTGATCGTGGCCGGCGGCAGGCCCGGTAAGGCCGCGGGCGGGGGCGGCTTGGCTGTGATTTGGGCTCCGGCAAATGGCTGGGTCACACAGGACGACGCAGCTTTAGGGGAGGCTTTTCCAGCTCAGCTGGTGAGTCGCCCCATTGGGCTTTTAGGCCCTTGGGTGGGCGATGGGCACGCAGGGGGCTGGGAACAGGCCGGCGGCTCTGATGGCCAGTGTGACGATGACTCGTGTTTAAAGACTGTCAGATGAGCACGTCTGAGTGTGGAGACCGGTAGGCGTCTCCTGGCTCCTCGGCATGGTCCCCTGCCCGGGGCAGAGGTGGCTTCAGAGCTGGGCTCTGCTCCGCTGTGGAGGGAGGACTCAGAACGCAGCGAGCCGCCCGGTCCCGCCCGGAGGCAGAAAGCATGGTGAGGACGTCGGCTCCGCTTTGCTGCCCTGTCAGCTTGCACCCGTCAGTCTCCGCCTCTGGCATCGCAGAGCGAAAGGCCGAGGCTTCGCCTCCTGGAGGAGAGCCCGTGACTCCGCGAGGCGGAGGGGAGGGCTGTTTCCGGGCCCTGGAGTTTGGCACCACCTGGCTCTCCTTTCCGTGCCCTTCCTCGGGCCCTCGGGGGCCGGCTCACAGGGCCTGAGCCGGGCAGATGCCCCTGCTGGGGGGCCCTGGGGCCACCTCTCCCCTCGGGGTGCAGCGTCCCAGGTGGAGGAGCTGTGGCTCCCCGTTTCCGCGCTAGCCAGCTGTCTTCCAGCAGAAAGGCAGCTTTCCTTCTGTGTGTCTGAAAATGTGAATGATCAGAATGTGGAAGGGGCGTGACAGCCACCACCAGATTCAGCAACTTGCTGGGACCGTTTCCACGGTTACAGCTTAGACAGGACGCCCTTCGTGGACCATCTCAGCCTAGTGGCAAACGTCCCGGGCCTTCCGGGTGCTTCGGCCCCTGCCTGCTGGAGATAAGGGCACGTTCGGCAGACAGGTCGGCCGCTGGGCAGTGTCCCGCCTTCCGCGGCCGTCCGCGGTTCTGTTCCGGGCCAGCTCCGCCTCTTCCCTGTGACGCCTTGGGAACAGCACGTGCTCCGTCACGTCCCACCGCACACCGTGCTGGTGGCCCGCTGTGCCCCGCAGCGTCCCACGGCGTCCCATCACGCTGTCTGCCCACCTGGTTAAAAAGCGGCCTCCGGAATCCTGAACGGAGCGTTCCCGCCCCCCCGCCTGCCCCCCGGGGCTGCTGGCACCTGCGGACCCCAGTCCAGTCCTTTGGCGTCTTGACGATTCGGGCCTGAGCCGACTCTTCCGGTTCTGAGCGTTTGTCACACATTTATTAGCTTCTCCGTAGAGAAGCGCCTTCCCTCACGGCCGGGAAAACGACCGCGACCCTTAGGGAGACACGGGATAGAAGTTCAGGCGTCGGGGTCCCGATGAGTCCTCAGTAACTGGAGTTCCGGTCAGCAACTCTTCCATCGCTGTCCGTTCACGTCACGAACAGAGTGGCTGCTGGGGGTGGAGCTGGGGAGTCGGCGTCATGTCCGCACCGAGGCGGCCGTTGAAAATGATGGTGTCCTGAGGCGGACGCAAGCCACACGCTGCCGAGTGGGAGATGCCAGCGCACGATGCCCACCCTGTGAGGAAGTCGCCTAACGCCCGTGTGCGCAGCGTGAGCGCCTGCACGGGACGGCACCAGGCCCTAGAGCGAGTCCCCTTCAGAGCTGGGGAGCCGGCGCCCGCGTGGGACCCGGCGTCACTGGCTGCCCCAGCGGCCTCAGCACAGAAGGTGGGGTGGGCTGTTTGGGGAGAGGCCCGGGATGCCGCCTGCAGTCCGTGACGACCAGGGGCTCCCCTCCGCTGACTTCAGGGTGCCGGCTCATCTGGGGCAGGAGCGGTCAGGCCCCGTCGAGCTGCTGTTGTGCATGGGGACCCCGTGGGGTGAGGCCGGGGCGTAGGGCTCGCAGGCCCTTTCCGGGCTCCCTGGAAGCTGTCCACTCCTTGTGGCTTTACCTTTGAATGGAGAGGTCATTGGTGACGTTTGCTCCTGAGTGTGGAGGGGGGGACACTGCCAGAAACGGTCACCCAGGGACCCTAAGATACCGAGGGCCCACCTTGCCCCTGGGGCACACCAGCAGGAAACGCAGTGATGCAGCTCGGGCGTGTGCAGTGCACACCGGATCCCTCGAACGCTTGCTGCTGCAGGCGAGGCTCTTCCTAAGCCCAGACCAGTGAACACACAGCGAGTGTGTCCTCAGTAAGTTCTCGGTGCACGTTCACGTCACTGCAGGACAGTGACTCCTGCTGGCAGCGCTTGAGCCCGCCGGACCCTGCCAGCCGGGGCGGGGCTGCTCCCTCGAGTGGGGCCCGCGTCCTGCCTGCTCTCACTCCGTCTGCCTCCAGCCTGCAGGGGCGTCTGGGACAACATCACGTGCTGGCGTCCTGCAGACCTTGGGGAGACCGTCACGGTGCCCTGCCCCACGGTGTTCGGCCACTTTCACAGCAAACCAGGTACCGTCTGCCGTGTCCGGGCCCCGCAGCCGTTTGCGTCCGGCAGGTCAACCCCTATCCTGGCCGAGCTGGGGCCAGCTGGGCCTTGCAAGCTGAGTCAGGTGGCAGCAGGGGCGTGTCAGGAGGCGCATCCCGACATCCGTGCTGCAGAGAACTCACTCTGCTGCTGGCAGGGGTCACGGGGTAAGCGCCCTGGGGGCCGGAGCTGCTGAGGATTCTGAACAGAGTGTGTGGCACGGCCTGGGGGAGGTGGCGTCCAGAAAAGAAAGGCCGTTTCGTCCTGGGACTCGGGTGACAGTCGCTGGGAAGCAGCCAGAACATGGCGATGGCCCTGTGGTAGCCTCCCTGTTCACCCCCGGGTGGGGGACACGTCACTTAGACAGGTGACGTGCTCTGCAGCCAGGGGAGAGCAAGCACAGCTGGGTGACAAACGGCAGGAGCACACGCCCCCAGCCGGCCGCCCAGCCCTGGAGTCCAGCCCCGCCATCCTCTCCCGGGGACTGCGAGCAGGTCCCAAAGCCACCGGAAATGAGATGCTGTGGGACCAGCCTGGAGGCTGAGGAGCATGATCTCTCTGGACAGCAGAGGCCACCCCAGGGTCACGGGAAACACGCCCATTGCCCTTGCTGGGCCGACATCTGAGGACCCTCCCTGCCCAGGGCCGGAGGCCAGCCAGACGCTGTGACTGTGACCATGTCTCTGCAGGACCCTTACTCATACTGAGCGAGGGACAGGAGTGTGTAGTCAGCTCTGGGGAGGTGGGGAGCACCTGTCGCCACCCCGCTGAGGGCCCCCCTATTCTGAGGCCGAACTTAGGGCCACAGTGGGAGGAGGCCATGAAGATGGTGGGAGGGACTCCACACAGCACCAGGGGAGGAGAGGTGGCTCCCAGAACAAGGGGGATCCAGGCTCCTCAGTCCTCAGGCCGTGGACCCCCCTGCACCCCCAGCCCCAGCACTGTCTTCACTGTCCACTGCAGCCCTGTGTCCAGCTGCCCAGGCACCCCAGGTTGACACATCAGTAGTGCCCCTCACCTCACTGGCCACCACTTAGTGCCTGCTGGGACATCCCCCTGCCACCGTGCGGTCATTCTCCTGACCAGACTCTTCCTAAGTGGACACTCCCCTTCGGGTCAGCTAGGAGCAGACGATGGGACTAGGTCAAACTGCCTTTGTTCCAGGCAATTTAAACGTTCGTCCACAATCTTTTCCTCCTTTATCAGTGATGCATGGTGCCCGCCCGTCTACCCGTGTCCCTGAGCCGTGACGGGGCAGCAGGGTGACAGCTGGCAGCTGGCAGGAGTGGGGACAGGATGGGTCGGGGGGCTCCAGGTGGGTGGGAGTCGGCTGCAGTCGGCTGCTGACAAACACACTGCGACGGCAGCCGCCACCCTGAGCACTGGTCACTGGTCACATTGTGGCCCTCGGCCAGGGCCACAAGGCAGAGGGGTCTCGCCCAGGTTTCTGGGGGAGGGGCCCAGCCTGGCTCCTCGTGGACCCAGGGACGGAGCGTCCAAAGGCCGGGCTGTGACGACGTGACACCGCCGACCGGCACCGCGCTTCGCCTTCCAGGGAAGATCAGCAAGAACTGCACGAGTGACGGGTGGTCGGAGACGTTCCCGGGCTTCGCAGACGCGTGCGGCTACGAGGACCCCGAGGACAAGGTAGCTTCGCGCCCCGGGGTCGTCGTCCGTCCCCGGAGCCCGCGCGGCCGGCACTGGGGTCGCGGGGCGGTCTGTCCTCTGGAGGCGGGAAAGGCTGGCTCCGTCCACACCGCTGAGCCGCGTGACGTTCCCTGCCACGGGGCTTCTCCCCCGGGTCCCGCCGCCGTTTCCGCGGCCTGGGTCGTGACGCGCTGGGGCCGCCTCGCACCCCGGGCCGGTGGCGTGGTCGGTGACACGTGCTGGCCGGCGGGGGCTCCGTGGTGGTGGGCAGCCCCTCAGCCACACGGCGTGCCAGCGCGGTGAAGGAGGCCACGGCGTCCCCAGGAGCACTTGGACAGGTGACCGGCCAGCTCCGCGGGACTCGCCCAGGCCTGACCACGAGCGCCAGCCAGCTCGGGCCCCCGCCTCCTGGCCCGGGCGTCATTCTGCTTTGTCACCGGAAAACCAGACCGCTGCCCCAGCCCCCACGTTGACCCCACAGCCCAGGGGCC